AACCATTCTATGATTCTATATGATTCTATGATTTAAAGGAATGCCTATAAGGCACCCATATTTACAGTGGTGTAATGTTTCAAGGAGGACACAGTGTGCAGCTAGAAAAGACATGCAGTTAACTCTGGTGGAGCACTGCCGAAACAGGATGCAGAAGAGATTCACATGGTATGAATGAAAATTTTCAATTTTTTTTTAACTGAAAAATTTCAGTACAATTTGCATTGTACTGAAGAAAAAACTCTTTAAAGTGGATCTGCATTTTATAATGTTATCTCCAAACCTGCAAGTATGAGATACATACTATTTTTATGACAAAAGTGGTCCTAGAAGCCAGTTCTGCACGAAAATCTAGTACAGCAATTCTGAAGCATGCAAAATTGCAGTGGTTATATACCTAGCAGTTCATTACTGGTACTACTATCAAGAACCATCCTAATAGTCACACACAATCTAAATATTTTGATTTTGTGTTTTAAACTTATTTTCTCACCTTAAACAGGGAAGAGAACACATGAAATGTATAAACCGCACAGGAACCATCAGAGTCGCACATGAGCTGGTTGATATGACTACGCCAGGCTTCTTCTGCATCATCACATGCTGCTGGCTGAAATGCAGCAAGGATGGCAGAAAAAAATGGTGATGGAGGAGGGGAGGCATTTCGATCAACGTCTCCAAAACTGAAGAAGAAAAACAAAACAATCCCAAAACTGTAATGAAAGGAGAATACCCAGAAGGTGGCAGATAAAATATGCTATCTTGAGACATAATCACAGGACCAATTACAGCACCTTTCTAAAAATACTCATGAAATTTCAAATTACTTTTGAAGGTTGGCAAGGTGTTGGCTGCAACGAAAAAATAGAGAAAATGAGAAAATGTAATAGATTGGAGAAGATCCATCCCTTCTCCATGCTGTTCTTAGGACAGAACATTATTTTTGCACTCCATGGTCAGTGAAACAGGCTGACTACCGTTTTTAAAGGGTACTAAGCTAGTTGATCTTGTGTATTATCCTTGAGGATGGAGAAATACTTCCTATGGCTCCCAAAAACAGGAACTGTGATTCTGAAACATGTGGCACATAGACAGAGAGAGGGCTTCTTTATATATCCTCATTCTCTTTCCTTTCCATAAATACAGGCTAATTGCAGTCTAACTCAACATCCAAAATCTGAAAGAGCTCGATAAGGCATGGAAAAATCTTGATGCCTTGTTGCAATATATATTGGGGTCCAGCCATGCTCACCAGCAGCCTCAAGAGTATGCAGATGGGATTTTTGACAATACTGTGACTTCCTTATGACCCATAAGAAATCAGAAGGATGAATACATGGCTGATCTGTTGAACAGCTAACTAAGCAGTATTTCCATTACTGTGAACCTTTAAAAATCCTTTTTTTTTCTTCTTTTAATTAAATATATTACATATATAAGGACTAACTGCATATATGTAGGTACATATCATATCTTGTTTTTCCTAGAAGGAAAATCTTTGGGGTTTTTGTAAGTTGTGTCATAATTATGCAGGTAATTAGGGCATTGTCTTCTCTACGCTCTAAACTGATGAAAATTTTGTAACTCCTGTGGCCAAAATAGCCATTCCATTAACTAACACCTTGTTACCACTTTGTTATATACTATAAAAGAACTTTTATGAATAATAGCATATACAAGTACCTAGCAAGAGCAAATTGTTCTAGCCTGTCAACTTTCTCTTCAGTCTCTGTCATATCCAGACTAAGGCTATCACTGCATTCAAATGCTCCAGGGAGTTCGTTTGTAGACCCTGAAAGGTCATCCTCGTGGACTCCTATATCTTGTTCTTCATGTACAGCTTCAACCTAGGAGAGTGAATGAGGGTGTCTTAGAAAACAGCAAATTAGTAAGTTCATTCCACTAATGAATAGAAAGCATTTAGTGAAAAAAAAAACCACCTGACATTTAACAACATGTTAAATTACACAGATATAAAGCCATAGCTTATAAATGACATGAATCAAGTTACACTTAAAAAATATTGTATTTGCTTAACTTGCTGTTTTGGATCAGTATTATTTTTAAGGCATTTCTTCAACTTAATTTGTCTAGCAAAGAACTTCAGACTTCAAAGCATTTGGCAACATAGCAGGATAGTATTTTTCAGGAAAAACAATAGGGTTCTTGTCAGGCTGTCCTTGTCACTTATGACTGTATAGTGTCCAAGGGTGTATTAAAGCCTCTCAAAATACATTGAAAACAATCACTGGAAGACTATATGCATGCTTAGAACGGAGAATTATTTTTAGCATGTCATTTACATAATAACTTCCATTCAAGAGGAATCCAAAGCATTCTACAGGCCATTAAAAGGACTATGCTTCTGTCATTTTCTTTCTCTTTCATCCATTAGCACCTAAAGCTCTTGATTTCTTTTTGAAACTTTCCAATTCCTCTTGTATTTTTAGTCTGAACAAATTTTGTTTCAGTTTTAATCATTTGCCTTTTGTCTGCATCATCCATAGCATCTCTGCTCTCATCTTAACTAGTGTGATCACTAGCTTTAATAGAAAATAAGTTTAACTAATTTTCTGCCATTAAGAATAATACCTGCATTTTGGCACCAAAACATTTGAGAAGAGGCCTACTTAATCACTCTGCTGCTCTCATTCACTGCCTCTATTTGAGTCACCATCCCTGGAGGTAGTTAAAAGATACATAGATATGGTGCTTAGGGACATGGTTTAGTGATTGGACTGGCAGTGTTAGGTTAACAGTTGGACTTGATGATCTTAAAGGTCTTTTCCAATCAAAATGATTCCATACTTTTATATTTAAAAGTTGAGGTGATATTTTTGTTTTTGCTTATGATGCAACAACCAAACATTTTTGTTCAGCACTAAAGAAGTAACAAAAATTTTCCTCTGCATTGCTGATATACCATCAGCTCTCTGAAAATAAGAACTCAGAGGAAAAGAGAAACAGGAAAGAGCTCGGGTTTTGCGTTATCAAATTAAGTAAAAATTATTTAGGTGAAGTTCAAATTTTCTGACTAAAAATTGGATGACTTCTTCCTTAAAATAAATACAAACCCAGGCATTTTAACTTTGTTTATACTGACTCCAATTTGTTTTGAGTAAAAATACAGAAGTATACATACCAGAAGAAAAATATCTTTGAGACAAAAACCACTAAGGCAGCATTATGTGTAAAGTTTAGCAATTCAACCATTTTTGTAACTCTGGCAAATCCCTGGGTTATGTATTTCACCAATACCAAATCTGTCTCAGGACTAGCTGAATTTGCCTGTCAATCCCACTAGAAACTGCTGTGATTTTACATTCTTCACCTATTTACTTTTTTGAAAGCTTTTCATTTTTTGATGAACACTGATGCGTGGGTGTTGGGACATTAAAGAAATTTTCACAGTAAAGATTCCAAAACCCCAAATGAAACTCATGAATTGTGATTTGCAATTCTTAATGTACCTACCAGTAGCTATGGCAGCTGGATGCATGAGATTAGCTGCAGTCACCACCTGCAAACGTATCTGTTCTGACTGCAGCTTCCTGAACTGAAATTCTGCCAACTTCTGCTGCTTATGGTTGTTACATGGCAATTTGTCTACCACCAGTTGTTTTGACAAATGATAATGAGTTTACCTTTTCCACAATCATTATTTTGAGAGGTTCCCCTCCTTTCCTATCCTTACCCACACTTCCCTCCTCCTGTCCTTTCCTCCTCCTGGGGAGGTTTCTGACACAAACAATTTGTTCAATATTCAGCACAATTCCAACTTCCTTTTCTATGATCTCTTTACTAGAAGTTTCCATTACTTCTGTTATACGTCGTGCTAGTAGTAACGTATCAATTTTTTCGTGTGGCTGCATTTGGAGGGGACCAAGGGCAAGAACTGGAATGAAAGTCAATGATTACACAGGACATATTCTTCCCCTGCCCCATTCTCCTATACTGCTCTTTCTGCAGAAGTCACTCAATTTAGACATGACAGAGAAAGCTTTACTGGTAAGGCAACAGTGTCATTAAGCCACTAACCCACACACACTCCCCAACCTGCCCCAGATTATATTTCTGGAGAGACATTGAGAGGAGTAGGTTGATCTGATCTCCCACAAACAAGTATTATCAAACAGAAAATTAAAGAAACCATCCCCACGTTGATAATCATTTACCAACCTTACTCTATGTTCATCTTCTGATACAATTGTCTGAAATAAACTGTGCTGAACATGGCTGCTGTATCCTCGCAAATCCTGCCTCCCCACCCCCCAAGATGGCTTAATATTGCAGTCATGAATTTAAAATTTCTGAGTGTCTGCCAAAAGGCAAGAACTGAATTCAGTGCACACAACTGTACAATAGGTTCCCACATACAAAAAAATCTCAGAGAATACACGCATACACCCACCACATGAGTTGGCATATTGTTCTTTTAAATCAGCATGAAGAACAAAAGAATATACCCTTGGGGTTGTAACTTGTAGCCAGTTCATGAATTTGTCTTCCAACGAGCTTGTAGTATCTTGGTGCATAGGTAGTGCAATATACTTAAGAAGCAATCAATAACATCTTTTAATGAAGAAAGCATAAGTAGGAAGGAAAGGGTATGAATGTGGAGGAGCTTGAATGTATTGTATTGTGCCATTACATCCAGGAAGTCAGAATGTACTTGCTTTCACAGATCAAACCCTTCATGAAAGTGTAAGTAAAACAAACTTGTGAAAGTGCTACGTAAAATACAATCCAGCTAGAAAAGAAAGTAAAAATGTATTCACCTTGGATCCTTCAGACACTTGGAGATTATTCATCTCGGGCAAAGACACATCAAAGCTGGATGCTCCTATATTAAAATGTTGAGGTTCTGCTGAGGTTGTGTCACATGATGTAGAAAGTGAGTCAATATGATTTGCATCCTCAGATGGGGAAAGAGTTATAATCTGTTTAAAAGACAACAAAAGCACAGAAGAACTGAGTATGCAGCTCCCCCAGCACACACTGCTTTTACGAACACGCAAAGCAGACATTGTCTTTAAAGGGCAGTGATGGTGGCTCACTTGGTTTGTACATGCAGACATATTATAGCCCTTTCAATGTTTCTATCATAAAAATTGTATGCAAACATCCCACAAGTGAACAATGAAAACCTGACGCAGTTTACCAATCTGTAGTCTTGTCCTATGTAAGTACCAGCTACATCAGAAAGATTTACTACTGGTCATTTGTGCAAAATTGTCACAGAGTAATTTGTGGGAAAAAAGGGCAAATAATCGTATCTGACACTTCCTGTATTTCAAACTCTGCATTAAAATTCCTGTTTACATTTGCAAATAAGGGAAAATCAAGCAGGGACAAAACACCGCTTTGAGTGCCACCCCCCAATTTCAGCTGATTAGATTGCACCTGGGCAGGAGGAAACTAAAAGCCCAGCTTATTTAAAAACACTATCCTATCTGTTCTCAAATTGCAAGTTTGCAGCTTACTAGGTCTGAGTTCTCCAGGATTTGGCTGGTGGTCAGGTCCTCCTCCTCTGATGACTCATCGGAGTCCTCACGGTTCATTTTGTTCAGGCTGGGCGTACTCCCCGAGAGCTGGCTCTCTTCCAGCAGCTGCATGTCACACTTGTCCAGGCTATCCAAGGACCGCCTGCGCACTCCCCAGTTGAAGTTGTCCATGCTCTCACCCTGAAATCAGATATAGGGTCGGCTTCCTTGATTTGAAACTCATCATATACAAACCACTAATCATTAGATCCAAGTTAGCTCAAGAAGTATTTTTATGTAAAAATATAATGTAAACTTGATATAAACATTATTTTGTTAAGCAATAATGTAACAGGAGCATTTAAAATTTTCCAGCGTTTCACCTGGAGATAAGAGCAGAAGCATGGAAATGACAATTATATGAAGATTCATTCTTTCCAGTATTAGATGTTTTTCATGCATTTGCTGATTTAAGAATTCATTTTTGTAAGTCCACATAAACACACACCTCACTACCAGTAGAGCAATGACAGGCAAAAGAAAAGCTAGGAAGCAATTTTAAAGGATTTTTCCATTATGTTTAAAAATATTAGGAGCACAGTTCATAGCAACGGTTCAATTGTAAAACATATGTTAAAGATTTTAGATTCTTTTCATTATATACATAACCATAATGATGAGTTAAGGTAGGTTTGAATGAACCCTTCATTTAGCCGGCAAAATATAATAGCTAAAGCAACACACCTTTTAAAACTTTTATTCTAGGCCCCTTTTTTTCCCATAACTTGAATTTATTTGAAGCTAAACTCTGAGAATAACCTGATTAGTACTGACTGAGATTTCACTTTTTAAACAGGACACAGTCAAATGGACCAAATGTTCTATATGGACTTTCAGTTCTGATCCCACACAGAGTTACATAAAGCTGAGTACATTAAGCAAATTGCATAACTATTTGTTAGGCTGGTGAACTGATACAAAGATCACTTGATTTTTTTCGTGTATAAAAATAACAATTAGTTTTCCACCTTTTTTCCATTTGTTTACTTCATGTATTTTCCAGTGGACTGTATCCTGTTTCCATAATTGCGCTAATTCTCTTGCTTCCATCTTCAAGTCGAGCCAGGTTCCTCTCCAACAAATGCAGGAGCATGTCCACAAGTGCTCCCGTCACGGACACGCAGAGGCCAAGGAGGCCTCACACAGTGATGGAGGCTCTACCCAGAAGTACCCAGTTTTGGGTACTTTATCTAGGTGAAAGCCCTCAATCTTACATGATGATGGGAAGGAAATTTACACAGAGAAGAAACATCTGTATTCAAAGTTCAGGGCTGATTGTTTAAAACAAGACTCTGCAAGACGCAACACTCTTAAACAAGCAAACCACCTACTGAAAATCCAAGTTGACAGTCATCTTTTAAATATGAAACCAATGAATTTCACAAAAATATAGTCTGCCTAAAAATGCCCTTAACATTAGCAAATGTTTATGGAATGAGTATATCTGATTCTGGAAGGAGTGTATCCTGGGCTCATACAGATTAAAATTATGTGCAATCATAGAGAAAGAAGTCTCAATTCAGTAAGGTCCTTAAGCAGATTTATAATTTTAAACACTTGAGCAATCCCCATTCAGGACTACTCAGAGATTTACTGAATGGGGACCAACTGCATAAAGTGCAATTAATTAAACTGCAATCTTATCTCCTTAACAATCAACAAACTTGCACAAATGGATCCTATTTTCCATCATTGCCCTTTAATGCAATGAAGTTTGGAATATGATTGGAAAGAGGGAAAGTTCAGTTTCATAACACTAAGCTCACCATTTGTGAACAAATATGAGGAGAAAAAACAATTTTAGGAAAAAGACAATTCGGGAATGCAAAACCTGCAATCCACAAGAACATGTAGAACTAAGGAATGCACTATATTCAAGAGCACATGAATGTGAAAGTGTTATGAAGCCCGACATGTTGTTGGAAGAACCCCGTGTTTTCATCCTGGGACTAGGATCACGTATAGACAACAGCACACATCTAAGATTTAAGAAATTAGGTCTCTCTAAATCATAAAAATGACTGCGCAGTTCCCAACTACTTATTTTAACAAATTCTTTGGCAAACCACCCTCCCCCACAAAGGCTGGAAGACACATGCAGCAATGAGACATCCTCCACAAACACATCAGTTACTGAACTAACAAATGACAAAATAACATAAATAAGCAAGCAAGCAAAGATGACCGTCATCACATGCTGATCCTTTTGATGCCTAGTACAGTCAGAGTAAACTTTGCAGCCCATGGCCATGGGAATATTTCTTGTTGCAGTTTTATTCTGCAATGTCTTAAAGAAGGAAGCCATCAAAAAGAAGAGAATTGAAAAGGGACACTTCTAGGGCATGCAATTAGAAGGGGGGGTAGTGAATTAAAATTGAGGGAGAAGGGTAAGAGAGACGAAAAACACAGTATAACCCAAATACCCAGAGCATTTGGGATAGCGTAAGCTTGCCACAGGAGCACCCAGACTCGTGTGGAATTTAAACAAGAGGTCAACACGTGTCTACAAAGATGGAGTTGTTGTTTTTACACTCTGTTAACCAATCTTTCTTTCACAGTTAACAAGAGTTAACTGTGAAAGAGAGGCTGTTCATTTTTATCTGCAGTGGAAGCAAAGCTATCTCCTATCTGAAAAGCCACCAGTAACAAATATCAGTTCAAAAGAAAACAGCCACATATTATCCATCAGTCTGGCCAGCAGTGAGCAGGTACTACGCAGGACTTCCCACAATCACCACCCTCCGGTAGAGAAGTGAACGTGCCCTTGCAGACACCTTAAACATTGGCACAACCCAGGAGAAAGGAGAGACACGGAAAGGGCAGTGAAAGGGAAGTAACCCTCTGTGGGGGAGCAGCGTAGCTCCTCTATAAAGCTGGTAGATATCATGCAAAACTTCTTTCACACAAGCCTTTACCTTACTGTATTGACAAAGTATGCAAAGTTAATGGAGTCGCACCAATATTGTAGGGTATAGGCAAAAGTCTCGTGGAACTGTACAATAAGGCACTATTTCCATGTGTTTGTATCTTTTATAGCACAGGCATTTTGCGACAAACCTTTTTTTGCGGGTTGTGTTTGCATAATAACTGATTTACAAACTATCAGAAACAAGTATGCAAAATACTGTTGTTGCTGATTTTTGTCCCATTTGTACAACTCATCACAATTCTTTATCATTTCAGTTCTCTCTATACATTGATAAACTGTCCCCAACTGGCAACCACTGATTTGCCTTTTCAGTTTTCTTCACAGAGTAAACGAGTCCAGAAAAGTTGGCAGGAGTATACAGCTGAACTAAATTAAGCTGTATGAATTAATTAATTTACTCAATTAAATTCAGGCTGGTAGGCAATGATGTAAACTTTCTGAAGAGGTCTCGGGTATCAGCTTTAGCAAGATGCTAACAGGAGCCAATACACCACAACTGAAAAGCTGGAAATGATACGTAATTTGCTCATGGAAACAAATGGCCCAAACTTTACTGTATTATAAATAAAGAAGTTCTTCTTTTGTTTCTACGTACTATTTATGCAGAAAGATACTAAAAGGAGAAATAGCTCAATTTGAAAAATGCTGATAGTAGAATTAAGATATTTTAAAATTTGCGAAGACTGTTGAACATGTCAAAAACAAACTTAAAATGAAGCAGAATTTTTGAAAAAGACCTCAGAAATTTCTAACACAAGACAAAAAATGAAGCACCTGTCAGAAGCGCAAGCACACGCACACCCACCCAGCCACGCACACACTGAAGAAGGGGAAGGCAACAACAAAACTATTATGTTATTCTATAATACAAGTTTGCAAGAAGGCATAACATATACTGGCACATCTGAGTTCAAGTAGCATTCTTACCTGAAGTTCCTGGGTAGCAGATATAACAGATAGAAAAACAAATAGAAAGAATCTATGTAAAATTACTGTATTAAAGACATCACAGACAAACATTTGCCTACAATTATAACTAATATTATCACAGAAACTTCAACTCTTCAGCCTTTTAAGTTTGAAAATAATCATTAATTGCTTTCACATCTTTATAAAATTTCAAACAAGTACATCTTATGGTCCAAGCATCATTGGCCTGTTTAAATCATAAGGGTTTTTTGAAAGCTTTTTGGAAAGACTATTTGTGCTCTTGCTAGCTTATGTTTTCTAACACTGTTTTATTCATGTTTATGAATATATCAAATTCAGACCTGATGTAAATGATATAGTTTCAACTCAGTCATTAGAGATGTAGTTTCCTATACCAGGTTTGAATTTGGCTGAAGTATCTATTTATTTAAAACAGTAGTAAGTCAGTCTGGACTAAACGTTGGAATGCAAAGTTTCAGATCCATGGCAATTTAATTTTACTCTATTAAGTAAAAGACTACATTTTTAATTTTACTTCATATAAAACTAGAGAAGCCTAGTATCTGTGCCATGACTGACTTAAGACAATTAGTATATCAATTAATTTAGGCTTTAGCCTTGAAGTTAGCTACATTTATAAAACAAATCTTTTCAGGGTAACAGTCTATGAAGGTAAACTCATTTTGATAGGAGTTGTTCTTTACAATTATATATAATCTGTATATGGTTTTAACTGGTGAAGAGAAAGAAGAAATTACTGAATTTCACTGGACTAAAAATTATGATGTGATATTAACTCAAAATTGCAACCCCGAGTCCTTGTAATGTCTTGAAAGCATTTAAGACACAGAAATGATTGCAGCCGGTGTACTTTTTGACAAACAACCTGGCATTGCTGTTTTATCATTTATCATTGTTTGGAACATTAAAGCTGCTCCATAATATTTGGCTAATGTATTTTCAACCATTGATGCCAACTGCTTTTTTTTCTTTTCTTTTTTTAGCAAAGTAATGGGCAGATGTGAGCCAAAATTACTATATTTTGATACAGAGATTCCTGACTTGGAAAATAAGGACTCGGACATCTCTTTCAATGCCTTCATCCTTTCTCTTCATTGAAAAAATAAAATAAAATTCAGAGTTCACACTTGAGGGGTCTGTTTACTTTAAAATTATTTTACTCCTGTAATTCAGCTAGGGAGAAAACTGATTATTTCTTCCTGTACACACGTTCTTCTCAGGGATAAGAGCAATGTCTGAGAGAATTAATGTTAAAATAGAGTCCAGATTATGACAAGACAATTTATTAAACTGTTAGGTTTGCTGAACATCTGCACCTTTGGTGCTTCAAAAGAGCTAACAACTTCTGAACTTTCAAATAGCAATAAAACTGTTAGCCTTGTTTGGCAATTGATACTAAATTTTGGCCTTTCCCACTCAAATAGAAAGAACTAACCCAAGGTTGATATAAGCAAGGTTAAAGGGTGTAGCCCCCAAAATTCAGCAGTTTGTCAACTTTTTCCCTTCAGCAGTTTCAGCTCAAGGTGAGCTGACAGGCTTCACCTGTCAAGGCTTGATCTGGGGCCTCGGGGTTCTGTTTAGCTCCTGCATGAAACGATGAAATCACAGACACCGAAGCAGAGTGGAAGGTACATCTTTCTAAGCGTTAGTGATTTCATCAGCACTTGCAGGAGTAACAACAGCCTGAAGGCCTGAATTCATGTTTTGGAGGGTTACTCTTGAACCAACAGATTTGGAACAATTTCATTTTATGGGGTTTTAATCAGCAAATATATTTTTGTCAACAATTTAGACCTTTAAAAATTGTATTTAAAATAAATTCACTTAAAAGTAAATTCACTGAAAAGGTACTAGAACAGAGGCTTTATCTTCCAGTAGCAGTTTTGCAGTGTTTCCTAAAGTAGATTCAGAAAGGAAGGGTGTGGTAGCCTCTTACTGTTATGCTACTGAAATAAACACTAAGTGAACATTATAAATAATCTGATCTCAAAGGTAAGTTTATAGTTATACAGTTAAAGTTTTATGTTACAAGAAGAGTACAGTGTTTAGTAGAAAGAATATCAAACGGTTTTAATATAAAAGCTGTTTCAGAGAAAATATACTGTACCTCCCCATCTTCCAGCTCAACATCTAGGAAATCAAAGTCCCTAAAGACTCTGAATTGCTGTTCACTGTTTGAATCATCCATGTTCTCCTGCTCCCTTGTTCCGTCTTCTGAAGACACCAAGCTCGTCTGGTGCTCAATCAGATCCAAATCACCACAGGAAGAAAAAATTACCTACAATTCAAAGGATTTCTCTTGTAACAAACTGTTCCCTCTGGTTGTTTCTTCCTAAAAGCTGTAATTGGTTATTCGGAAGACTGTATTTCCAGTACACACCTAATTCCTTCACTGAGTATTTTTAGAACACTCTTTATTATTTATGTTGGACAGGTGCCTTCAGATTAAACTTGTACAAAGAAACAACTTCATACTGCAGGAACACGTCCAAGAATGTTACAGCTACCTCCTAATGGCTACAGATTGATGTTGCCTGGATGTTTGTATACATTTATAGGAACAAAATTCAGAGAACTTAGCAAAGAAAATACTGTCAAGGGGATGAGATAGTAAGTTCATCAAAAAAATTATGTTCAAAAATACGTCAAGATTAGAAAACACAAGCTATAATTTTTCCTTTCCTACTAAAAATAAATATATCTGCAATTTATTTGCAAAAATGCAACAGTCGCTGTCTTGCAGAAATGAAGGTCCTTTTTATCGTAACACAAGTGACATACAACACATCCAAAAACATTCAGAAATTTTCCTTTCTCTGTAGAAAATATTTAATAACTATTTTAAGAGCTTCCTACCCTGGATGATCTATTGCCCATTTCCTGGCACCAGATAATATTAATTTTTAAAGAGTAACATTAGAACTACTATCTAATGGAAAAATCAGACACACATCTCTCCCAGTTTTATTTCTGTAATTTAATTTTTACTTTATAAAAACTCTACACTGGTAATACCAGAGGTCATTACTATCTACCCACTGAGATGACATATGTAAAACCTATAGCATCACAGATCTCTCACAGCAAAACCATATGTAGCTCTGTAAGTAAATCATCTTTAAGTGAGAAGGCCATTCACTCTATTCATTCAGTCTATATGCTGAGAAATGCATAATGGGCCAGTACAAATGAGAATGACAGTAATGTGACATGAAACTATGCAAATAAGGTTAGCAACTCTGGGAAACAAAGTTCTTCACTTTTAAAGTTTAGGGCACAATGAAACAAAGGTCAATACAAGGCTACTTACTGAAGGGTTTTTACTCAGCCCAACTTCCTGACCACATAGGGAAAGGACATGCACCAGCTTTTCCTTTGTCCTTTTCTAGAAAATAAGATGTTTCTCAAGTGAGCGTATTTTAACCACTCATTCTCCCAGTGGCTAGAAACATACATTAAGAATTTTTAATTAGGAGGAACCAACCAAAGAATTAGTCATTAAGTGCTCAAAGGGTTGCTTTCAGAGCAACTATGCATACAAGGAAACATAAAAATAACTGTTAATGATTTTGGTGTTTATTATTTATAAATTAGCCTATTCTATTTAGCATAATAAGGAAACATTGGATCGTGTGATTTGCTTCAACAGGACAGTTCAGAAGCTTAAAATTAAGCACATGCATAAGAAGCAAGAAATACATGTATTCTGCGTGGTTTTATTTTAACTAGCAGATAACCAACATCAATAAGGTAATCAAACATCCCTTTTAGAAAAATTGTTCCAAGGAATGCTTTTTACCTGATTTCCCAAGAAAACAATACTTAGAAAGTTACACATGCTGTGTATGTGCTCCCCTTGCTACTATCTGAACTCACCTGTTATTCTTAGCTAAATCTGACCTAGACTTAAAAGGTCTTAAAGAGATGAATTTCCTGCAGGTTGAAAGAAAAACACTGGCAGGACAGAAGACAGACATAACTCGGTTGATTTCTGAGTCAATGACAGACATTCAGCACACAGAGTCAGATGTCCTGCTGCCACTGCCCAGCCGGCCAGGACCACTGCATACGCAGGGCACAGAGGGCATAGGCATTTCAGAATCCAAATGTGTGCTAGTTCAGCTGCTCCAAGTGCAACGTGTTAATGAATAGTGGGCAACTTAAAAGGAGTTTACCTGAGAGTACTGGGGTCTCTTCCAGCTCACAGGAACAAGGACATTGGAATTAGATCCTGATGACGTTGAAGAAGTGCTTCGGGTGACAGCCATTGCCCTGGGTTTACCATCGCGTCCAGAAGAACTCTGCAGCTCATCATACCGTCTCCCAATAATTGGAGTCTTAAATAGAGAGTAATTAATTCACTAGTACTGTGCTCCAGGATGAACTTATAATGGGCAATATTGCTTCAGTTGCAGGAAAGGATTACTCTGAAGATCATATACAGGGGTAAAACAAGGAGTGCACCAAATTTCATGTCACTTGATATGTATGTTATTTTCCACCGTGAATGTCTGAGTAACAATTGCCATACTTAGTAGCTAGTGCTTATGTTTGTGAATAGCTAATACTCAATGCAACTGTCAAACTAGTTTCTAACATAAGAACCAGCAAAAAATCAAGAAAGCTTATGGAATTTATTTCAAATCCACATTTATTGCACATGCTTTTTAATGTTTTTTCCTAAGAGTGCTGAACACTCTGGCCCTGTTCCAACAAACATGAAAATGCTTTCTTGGATTGACGATAGGATGCTCAGTATTTTCTAGAACTATACCTACATGAAACAGCAAGAAGAAACTCTTTATACAAATAGTACAAGGTCCCTATTTATATTCATATTTCCTTTTAACCTCAAAGTCTCACTATTATCTATACGAAAGTCTATAATGCTACATGTTTATAATGATAAATAAAGTCAGTTGCCTGTTACAGTCAATAGGACCATTCAGTTCTATAAAGATAAAAGGTGTACAGAGTTTGCAGGATAAAGACTGCTGTAAAAGAGTTCAGTCATAAGTCAGGCAGTGCTCCCTTAAAGGGCATACTTCTGTGTTTAACAGTTACAGAGAACATTGGCATCCAAGTATAAAATGCTTGGAAGGGGATTTTATACATATAGTATACTTATATATTACAGTTGGCATAATTGCAACACAGCTATTCTACCAGATAAATTTAAATAAAACTAATAATTCCTTCACAAAAAAAATTAATCTAGTAAAAATCCAGAAAGAGCCCACCAGCATGGGTTACTAAATATGTCACTGCAAACTGAAAAAAATTTAAGAGACTTTCAGTTTGGTAGCTTTCCTTTCTTTCCTAATTTTTCAGCTTTCTTAAGGAGCTGCAACACATGTTTTAGGATTATCAAATAACAGAATGAATGTGTTAAGTAGTAGAATTACAAATAGTACCTCTGAAATATCAAAATGAAACTCTAAAGTCTTCCCTGGGAGCTCCTTGGAGGCACTGTTCCATACTCGATGTATTTCCATTTTTGAAAGATCGCTGTGTTGATAGGATGGTAAAACTAAACTGGCAGAACGAGAAACTACCAACTTCAGGATGTTCAAGGCTTCTCTCCAGTGAATGCTCTAGAAATAGGTATATTTAATCAGCAAATGGAAAGAAAGATTCACACACATTCAAAATTATTTACATTTTACAGTCATATTTTTTGCCACATAATAAAAATGTGGAATTGGAGTATTACCGTTCTTTGTCTCTCTTGGCCAGTGACAAGGTACATACTTGCAGAATAATTTCAATAGCAGAGACCAAGATTTGCCTAAGGTGTCATTGTTAGGGAACTGGCCTTCAACATGGGACACCTGAGTGCAAGGGCAACTTGGCAAAGGATTTAAATTCTCCTACCTGAATGCCTTAATCGGTACAAATAAATATAAGGGCCACTGCAGAATCACCATTTAACAGAAAAGTGGACTTGACATAGGCTCTTTACAGCTGTGAATTCCTAGTAGAAATACCTATTTTCCACTTGCCAAGAATTAGGTGCAGAAGTCTCTGAAGGAAAGTGCTTATGCCATATCTCCCTCATGCTACTAATTAAAAAGATTGGTCAGTCAAGCTCTGCCTGGTATTAAGCTTGCTCCCCATGTAGTATACCTGCAGCCTAAGCCTTCCCACACAGTGACTGTACAGCTGGACATCTTATCTGGGGACGCACAGTCTATGAGGTACCAGGATGTTTATAAACTAGAGACCACACTGGACAGTCACAGTCCTCCCTGCTAATCTAGCCTTAAATTCTTATAAAGAAAATCAACTTATGAGAGTAAATACTGCTAAGTTCCTATGTTAATATAAAGAAGATATGGTATTTACCTGTACATATTTTTCAATAGTTTTTAGCACTTCCATGTTAAACTGTTTCACAGGAATAGCTGACAGGTCCATATAACTAAGAAGACTGTAGATCATCTGTAAGAGGGACTGTTGCATACTAGGAAGGCCCTTTTCTAGTAGCTGTTAAAAAAAAGAAGTGAAAATAACTAAATTTTGAGACATTTCTTCTTAAGGAAAAAGCTATTAGTTTCATGAATACCATTTGTACTGTTAATCTCTCTTCACTCACTGATTTTGCAATGCCATTTTACAATCATTTTACAAGTGATGATGATATGAGTACAAAATAGAAGAGAGCTTTAAGTTGAGAACCAAACATTAGCCTGTTTTGATAATGAAACATACATTTTATATATGCCTGCCCTAACTTATCCAGAAAACACATTCAGCAGTTGAGTAAACTGGCAGGTAAAATTTACCCTGTAATTGGGGAAGCACATCCAATAAAAACAGGGGAGTATCTTTTTATTTCTACCTTTGCTGAAAGCCAGTAAGAAAAAAGAAAACATGATGAAGAAACAAAACTACGACTATTCAGACATCAATATATATTTATCCAAATATACTTCACTGCCAGTGCTCACTGGCTGTAACTGCCAAGGAAACATTTTCTGTTAAGGAGGAGATGGAGTCCCTGGGCTCTCTTACTGTAGAGGCTAACACAAAGAAAGGTTTGATCTAAATCCCGGAATTTTGGAACACCTCAGTGTAGATCCCGGAATACGACAATGAACCTTGGAAATGCAACTGTGCTCATATATATACATGACAGTAATTCAGGAGGTGTACAGACAGACATGCTATATTTGCACATGTGTGTGAAATATCTCAGCTGAAAATTTCCTGGAAGGTAGCACGTTCTTTCTTTGGTGACAGGTACTGTCCCACCCCACAAATTTCACAGACAATCAAATATTATTGCTGGAGGTTACCAGAGGCTCAAGAGTAGACTCTATCCTTCCATTCAGGCCAACAAAAAAGTTCTTCTAACACTGCTTACTAGAGATATTAGGATCTAGAAAACACTTACTTATAAAAACTCTATGCTGCTTCATGTCTTCTTCCATCAGAGAAAAATTTCAATTGTTATCCAAGTGGAGTCCAGTAATTTATTAGATGCCCTTGCTGGTCTGAATGACAAGACTCCTGTGTTTTATTGAATGAGAATGTTTCATGCCAGCCAAAATGGAACTATCAGGTAGAACACACACCTATCTCATAGAATCATAGAATCTTTTTGGTTGGAAAACACCTTTAATAAAGTCTGACCATTAATGTAGCACTGCCAAGTCCACAACCAAACCATGTCCCTAAGCACCACATCTACACATCCTTTAAACACCTCCAGGGATGGTGACTCAACCACTTCCCTAGGCAGCCTGTTCCAATGATTGACAACCCTTTGGTGAAGAAATTTCTCCTAATATCCAACCTAAACCTTCCCTGGCACAACTTGAGGCCATTTCCTCTTGTCCTATTGCTTGTTACGTGGGAGAAGAGACCAACACCCACCCAGCTACAGCCTCCTGTCAGGTAGATGTAGAGAGTGATAAGGTCTCCCCTCAGCCTCCTCTTCTTCAGGCTAAACAACCCCGTTCCCTCAGCTGCTCCTCATAAGACTTGTGCTCTAGACTCTTCATCCCACTAAATATCTTCTGATTTCTTTCATCAGTAAAAGTAAGTAGCAATTACTGATTCAGAAAACAAAGTAGGTAAATTCCATTAACAGCACAATAGATGGAACTCACTGTGCTTTATTTATTCCTCTACAAAATGAAAGCAAGAATTTTTAAATTAAAAGTACTGCATGGTAACCCGCTTCAGCCCATGGATACTTTTACTGAGAGATAAAATGTGCTTAGCAATTCTTCTTCAAAACAGAGTTATAGACTTTCTTGCCTTCCATTAGGATCTTGCAATGGAAGGTTTGATTCCTTCCTTGTAAATAGTTTATACGATCCAGCACATCAGCCGTTATACCATTTCAGTGTCCGAATAAAGGATTAGAAGAAACTATCTGGGTGAGAGAGAGAAAGAAATTTTTTTGTTCTCTCAGAGAGGCTACTGCATCAGATAATCACTTTTGTGACAGGAAAAGGAAATCTTGGGAAATAATGGGAATTTTGTCTCTATTGCTGGTTGGAAAGCTTTTCTAGGAACTTTACATCTGAAAGCTTCTAATTTCCATTCCAGTTTATACAAATATGGTGTTAACAGAATCCTTTGACTTAAACAACTCTTGCCCCTTAAACTCTAAACATTTGTGGACTGTACCAGTTTTCACTCATTCAGATGAGTATATGTGGTGGTTGATAGTCCAAGTGTGTACTTAAATACATCATGAATTTGTAACAAGAAAGACTATTTCAGTTTAAAAAAAGAACAGCAACTTTAAAATGCATTTAGTACAGTAAGAATTCTTTTGCTGACAGAAGTAACAAAAATAGCAGCAAGATGGAGTTGTGGTAACACATCATTTAGATCAGGGAGTTCCAGGACAAAAAACTTTCCACTGTATTTGTAAAAAGAAGTCATAACTGTTCTCAGACTTTTTTTTTTTTTTTTGGCTCTGGACCATATGAACTGTTTTGAAGAATTGTGGATTCCTCTCTTGTTAGTGTGTGGTAACTATCGGGTTTTATCTGGGTTTAGGGATCCACACTCTGTTAGCAACATTTGCCCCTTTCCTGAAGCAGCAGCTAACCCAGAACTAGGTGGAGAGCAGAGCCTGCCCCTCCAATGACTGCCTGGGCTGGCTGCTGCTGGTTGATGTGGCTTCTGGGGTGCTACCGTAGGAGACAGTTCCCTTTGACCCTCCAAATCTGGCAGCAGGTGAGAAGAGATACTCAGGTCTTAGACTAGGTTAGTCAAACTGTGTCCACTGAGGAAATAAAGAAGGCATTTCACAAGTCATGTCTGATAGACAAACAATTAGCGGGATAATGTCTGATCTAGGACATGCTTCCCCTTGCAACACAGATGTTTTAATCTCTAGTGATTCCTTGGTTTTGAACGGGTTATGAAAGCTCACGCTTCTATCACAAGCAATCCTCTGTCTAACAGGGAGGAGGATAAAACATCTACCATGAGCACATTACTATGCACTACCTGTTTTCTTGTCCCTTCTTCTGTATTAATAGCATTAGCTATTTAAGTCCAAGCATAAGCCTGGACTTAGTGAATCACTAGTTTAACATGTGACTCATGTCAATTCAGATATGCTCCTAGAATGACTGTGGTACAAGGCTGATTTTAAAAATTTAATATGCAAAAATCTAACATAAAATCGAAGTAAGCTTTCAGTAATGTGTCTGTATGCTGAATTTGGTAGTGGAGGTTCAAAGTTCTACTGCACTATTAAATAGTGATTTTTCCTCATCTGTAGATTGAGATCCCCAAGTATTTTTCTAGAAGAAATGATCATTTTTCATGGATGGAGCTGCAATATGCAAAACTGAGTAAGGAGCACAGCTTGTCACTGTAAGGTCTGGATAAGAACACAGTTGAAATGTCTTATTATGCCAGGTTCATACTCCTAGCTGACAAGCAATTACCTGCCATCAAATAGGTTAAATGCAAATTTTTTGTCTGAATGGCAATAACTGAAGCTTTTACCTTCAGCTGAGAGCATTTGTTCTGACAGTCTTAATAACTTGTGGTAGAAAGTCCCCTTCTGAAGTATACCTGTGTGTTTGGTGGGGTCACTGTTGCAACACAGATTTCCTTTCTTATTTTTAAGCACTGGGTGACTCACAATTTCCCTCAGGCCCAAGCACTGGGGACTGAGCCAGGACTGTTAAAGCCTCCCAATGGCTATAACATTCAACTTCAGATTGCCCAGTGGCTTTACATAACCTGTTTGGCTTTACATATTCACAGTGTATCCCACAGTCAGTTTATAGGAGACAGGAGCACATTGTCTATCCTGATCTGGGGATTAACTAAGAAGAAAAGGGGAAACATATTCTGAATGCTGGAAAAATCTTTTTCATGGCCACAGCAAGCCAAACAAGATGATTTCTTGTCTCTTGCTCCTCCCCCAGATTGGCTGCCACCCTATGCCCATACAAATATTCTCTAGACATGACTCAACAGAACTGCAGTCAATGTAAATACAGAGAAAGGAAGTTGTGCTTACTAATCTGTCATCCTGCAATGATGGTGCTATGTGAGGAATGTGCCTTAATTATGGTCAAAAACTTGCCTGACTTGCTGTTAATACACTAGTGTGGTGCCAATCTACAGCAAGCGGAAAAATGTAAAGAAAGAGTCTCCATACGCGCATCTACGCCTGTTTTGAGGGCAGTGAGATCATGTGCAATGGCCCTTGTGGAGGTGCTGCAGCACTAGTAACTACATAGAGAACTGAAGGGAAAACAGAGGGAAAACACTTTCCTAAGGCTGGGAAAGCAAAGAAGAAAGAGTTTAAATCTCAACTTTCACAGCATTTGCTATTAGGAGTACAAGTTTCTGCTATGAAGGAGACACTTGACTCTGAAGGATTGAGAGTCGTGTTTGAAGAGCTGATCGTTCTTCAGAGTCTTTGAGTTTGAAAACAGACTGAAAAACCTCAAGGTCCTGTTTTAGTCTCCTACAGGAGAGTCAAGGCTTTCACCATCAGTTAAGATCTGATATGATTGTTAACTTAGAGCCGCCATGTGCAAGGTGAGGGATTGCAGCTTGAGGTAGCAGGGCCAAGTTTGCTCTGAAGTCTGAGTGAGTGTGGGAGCACAGCCTGGCCTCTCAGGCTCTTGAAAACCTGCGGATAGTCAGTATCAGAGACACCTGCGGCATTTTTGTAGATCCTTTGGCAGAGGGGAAAATGAATCTGCTCCAAACCCCAAAGCTGCTGTAAAGAAGCTAGTGAATTTTTGTCATGAATACAGACCTTCCTTCTCCCTGAATGAGAGGGGAGACTGAAGGCATCTCACTACAGCATGGAGTGAAGGGATAAATCTGACAACTCTACAACAAAACGGTGTCCTGATACTGATCTGACACAGAAGGCAGAAGATCAAGTGGTCTAGGCTAAAGAGAAGAACTGAGCCTTGGATCCCCAGTAACAACACTGCATCAACTCTATATTCCACACATGAGAAATGTTAGGAGTAAGCAATGAGTGCAAAGGAAAACCTGGGCAGCAAGATGATCCCATTCAGTGTTAGAGAAATGCATACAGATTTATATCAAGAATCAGATCCTTATACAGCAGATGGTATCTTATTTATGCTGCTAAACCCCTTCTGGAGTTAGTCCTTCTCTTAGTTTCCTCAGTGCGACCTAAGTAAATCTTGTCCAGTTTCGCTCTCTTTCACAGTCGAAAAGCTGACCGGCTGATGAGTGAATCTGCTTTAAGATGTACCAGCCCTGCAGACCTTTGCTGGCTTTTGTTTTAGTGTTCAGTATTGATTTCTCATAATAATTCCCTTTTTTTTCTGCTAATGTGTGCTTTTTAGTCTTACTTGTAAATAGCAGCTACAGAGAGACCCCAGTAATCTGCAGGCAGACTTCAGCTCTTTGGGTTGTTAGGCATCAGAGGAGTTAAAACAGTAAAACATTTTTGAAAACTTACCTCAGCCAAATACGTCACCATACTCAAAGTAATATCAGCAAATGCTTCATGAAGGTAACGGCAAACCACATTTACCCAGGTAGCACAGTCCCTTGTATAGCTGTGTGTTTTATAAAGGGTCATGACATGTGCAAGATTTGATAGCTTGGGGTTCTTCTCCTCCAAACAAACCTAATTAAATATAAATGTCAAAACACATTAAGAACAAGGCAACTGCATTTACAGGTTTGAGGATGAACAAAACAGTAAATAACTTTGATACCTGAGCAATCCTTTCGGCTATATCTTTACAAAACTGGTTTGGGCTGTCAAAATGCTGAATTAAATGGGGCAGGAGACACAAAACATTCAGTGGAAATCCTAGAACAGGAAAATACAGAGCAAAATGTGTATTTTGGACAGCAAGAGCCACAGTGATCTTCAAGTTGGTGTTTCATGGGAAGTCACGGTTTCAATATCACATTAGCCGTAAACTCACAGAGACTCTGTCAAGTTGTTCACGCGCCTGGCCACACCATGTTTGTCTTAAAGGGACCTTAATTTGAAAATCCAGTACATAATTTAGGCAACAGTGCTGTTATAAAGTTATATTTCTGCAAACACTACTGCACAAACAGGTATTTACAGGATAAAATATCTTAGAAAAGTATGTATTTTATTCCTGTTAGAGAGTTCCTGTTAGACATTCTTAACTGGTGGCATTTTCATCACTGCTACTAAAACACAAAAAGAAATTCAGTGAGTACTGATAAACAACCAACTGTTTTGGTCAGGCTGCCAGGCACAGCTTCCACTGTTTTGAACTGTTCAAATTAATAATAATAATGAAACAAAATTCTGACTGGTCAGATGAGACCACTCAAATGGGTGTTTTTGAAGCTAGGAGATGGCTCCAATGCCATGTGCCAGCCACTGTCCTTAGCGTAAGGGCTCTGTCTGGAGCTGGGATTCAGCTCTTCTGCACCAACTCATAGCTCCTAGTTGATGAGCTATAGGTGTTGTCTGTAGTGGAGAGCTGTCACAAAAGCTGCTCCAGTTCAGGTGGGAGCTCAGAGCTCAGAAGTCAAGAAATTGTGTCTGGACACAAACCAGTTTTTGAAAAGAAAGAATCTAATCTATGAAAATATCTTTCTAAACATTAATTCCCTCTTGTTCTGTGCAATTAAACAAGCTGCCTAAGTTAGGAGCGTAATTTCCCTTGGCTTCCTCTATACCCAGGGAAAAGAAAAAGATACCTCCAGGTGGTACCATCACAGCCCATGTGTGAATTGCTCAACCAAAGTCTGGAACACAGGCACCACAGAGGCTTAGAGATGGGCTGGCTGTTCATGGCATTCACCCCTTACTCTGTGTCTATGCTTGTTATGGCTTAGTTGTGAAGCCTGCACAACTGTCTTAATATCTGTGTTTCTGACTGAGACAGAGGAGTAAATATCTGGAACGATAGAGAAACTCTCTTCAAGAAATAAAATGAAGAAGTGTTCACAACCTCAACTAAATAATTGGGAATTTCAAAATGTTACCTTATTTCCTTATAACCCAGGCACTTCTCCTCACTACCTAATGTGCTAGTATAGTTTATCTAAAAAGTGTACAAGAGTTTTCAATATTTATATTTCTAGGAAAAATCCCATGGAGCACTAATTTAAAATCAAATAATTTGCAATATTCTGAAAATAATTAAATGGAAAACCTGGCCAAAATAGGTTCTAGAAAATTTGACAGTATCTCCTTACATATGTTTATTTTGTCAGCACTTGGAAACTTTATATGCTGCTAAGCACTAGAAATGAAATGTTAAATAACACATGATCGCTCTCCTCCAAAGCCTTATTGTGCAAGAGATTAACTTTTCAGAAACATGTTATATTGCTATGAAATTTCCAAAAAGCCCACTCAACTCAAAGCAAAGTTACATTATTAGAAGAGAATTCTATAGTAGAAGAGAAAGAAAAAATGCCGCGTTTGGTTTTGTGCAGATAGCCTTATGAGGTCTGTCATCAAATGTCAAGGCAACAGAAATTGAAAGAGGAAAGTATACTGGTTTTACCTATAGCTTGAGAGGAATCCACCATGGATATTCGAGACACTGGTGTCAACAAACTAAAGAGCTGTAGTGTGAGATCGGTGGTAGTAAGGGAGGTGAATCCTTTCAGGAGTAGCTGCTGAAGCCCTGAGAAGTCTGCCCACTTCAGCTGCCCTTGCAACTTCTCTAACTTCTCCCGGTTTTCGGCTTTATCTAGTGGCAAATGAGCCAGAAGTTTATTCAGTAACCGCAATGCCATTAGATACTCAAACTCAAAATCTGATTCCATCAAAGCCACAGCAACCCAGAAGATGGTGGCCAGTAGGTTGGTTGGATTGTTAATATGGGATGGGTCAGTGAGACTGTCCTTTAGAGAAGATGAACTTCTGGTTTTAGAGGACAGGCCTTGTTGGGTGCACGCCTGAATTCTGTCAAGGGTGGCACTGCGTGGTGGGTCCGAGGACTTGTCCACATCTCCAAATTTTTTGGGTACAGAGAAGCTCCTCTGGTGCCTGCTTCGTTCAGCAGTGGCTGTGTTACCGCTTGCAGGATTCACATTCAGCTGTCCTGTGCTCTTCCGGTTTGCAGTCAGTTTGGTGCTTGATGTTAAATCTGGCGAAGATGAACTGAAGCCAAAATACACAACATACATCGCAATGTGTGAATGCACAGCTTAAAACTTGTATATATATTGGATGCAAGTTAAGTATTTATTAAACTGTAAATAAATATTTAAATAGGAAAAGTAAAACACCACACTGTGTATTGCTGCTTTTTTTATTCCAGAAGTGCCCACAGACATGACTGAAGTGAGGTTCATGTGGCACTGCACCAAACCAGAGCAGGATGGCCTACAGTCCAGATCAGTAGGAATGACATGGTGATAGGAGATACAGAGCTGTGAAGTGACTTGTGGAAATGCCCATATAATGGGGAAGTGGTAGAATTGAAAACAATTTTGGTCTTTAAAATGCCCTCATCAGTGGAGCAAACCACTCAAGTGGAACTTGGCACATCTGGCAAGCAAAATGCACAATGGCTTACTGGCTAATGTGAGAACTGTGGGCAGAAATCCCAGTACATCTTAAGCAGAACCACAAATATGCCACAGTATCCTCAAGAAACCTGTCATGTCTCTGCCTAGGTTCTTGTTAGTACAGGTCCTTCAGAAATCTTGTTGTCATTGCCTGTATGCTAAGATCTCAAGATGGTTTACAGAATGCGGAGGTGTTTTAATTTCAGTGACTGATGCCTCCTCATGGACTATCATGTGATGATACAGACAATCTCTATCAATCTGTACAGGTGAACATGCTGTGTTGATACTTGCAAGGGAAGTTTGTTCTGGACACAGCTAGTTCCTGACTCTTTGGTCCCATTCCTACCTCATATACTATAAGTCCCTACTGTCTATAATATTTGAAGAGGATCTTATGGAATGAGTAGTGTCACGGTAAAGAATATTGCATCCCACTGTTTTCTGGAGTGTTTCGTATTTTCTGCTCCATCTTGCTCTTTCCTGAAATGTGCACTAAAGAAAGATAAATAGCTCTTAGTTGAGAAAGTAAAAGCTGTCTTTCCCCAGCTCTACTCCGTCACACGACAGCACTGCTGTTCTGCTGTTGCAGTATAATACAGAGCACCCTGCCTACTAGCTTCAGAAATGATAGCCCTTGTATTTTTGTTCTGCATGTAAAGCATGGCAATTTATGGACATTTTTCAAACATGTTCCCTATTCTGTTGTTGCTATTAGGAGTCAGATATACATTAATGTCCCTCAGTACTGTCAACAGCTGTGTTACTGAAGGAGCCTGCAATTTTCCTCCATGTACAATGGTCTACTTAAAGGCCAAGGGTTTCACAAAGATGGTCTACACATCTGGAAAAATCCATGGGTTATGTACACATGGGGCAAAATTCTCCACAGTTTTACTGAGGAGAACAAACCATGATCATTTACTTGTTGGGGAATACTTCATCTGAGAATGACAGGTTGTATAAAACCAATATTCCAAAAAACATGTTTCTTCCTAGATATGTTTTCAAGTATATGGTACAAAGGTGAAAAAAATACAATATTTTTAAAGGATGTTAAAGTAAGCTATAGCCAAGTGGCGGCAAGGCAGAATTTGCAATGCATTGTAAATTACCATTAGTTCTATCAACATTATTTTAACTATTGCAAAATTCGGCTGAGATGTTGTCTTAGTCCAGTTCTCTGAAGGTTACAAATGAGCTCAGTCTTAACAACATAATTTTATGCTGTCAGACTGCAGAACTGCACACTTAATATCACGAGACACTGAAAAAAAGGAGATATAGTTGGAGAAGAGGCTCTTACCGTGATAACACTGTCAAAAGATCACTGTTCTTCAAACAGTCAGACAGATTATCCACAGCAGCTTCCAAAGTAAGTAGCGCCTCCATCACATACCCCTATCAATGCACGAGGTTAACCATTTCAACGAAGACATTCAAAATAGTGAACATTTAAAAATTTTCAGTTCATAAAATTTCTCCTGAAAAACGAACAACATTCACACAAATGCCACTGCCCTGAACATTATAGTCACTACAAATTTGCTTTATTTTCTGCCTCTGAATGATCTATGAAGGCATGCAAGAAGGGCACATATCTCATCAGGGGATTGGTAACGGCACACAGAACCTCTGACTTTCAGGTCACTGATTTAAATTCTGCACAGGCAGTTGTGACAGAATATTACTGTCATCTTGTGGCAGTTTCATTACCTAAGTAAAATACGGAGGTAATGTCAGTCTATTTCTTCTTAAGAGCTAGCAGTTCTCTTTATTAAGTCTTGAATCTCACAATAAACAGGCTCTGATTGTAAAATTTCAGGAGAGAACAGTCTGTTTAGCTAAAGCAAGTGAACATTATAGTTCACTAAGAGAGGACTGGATCAAATTATGTGAGTGTAAGTTTTGTATTGTTAATTTATTCCATTAAGATATTACTTCTGAGAAATGAGGGGGTGCCTACTCCACGTTGTCAGATTACATCAGCAGATAGGATGATGGATTCCTTAAGCAGAAATTCATGACGTGAAAAGGGAAAAAATGGTCATCGTGAAGATTTCATTTTGAGTGACATTTACTAGATCTTTTCCAGTTGTTCTCTTTAGAGCTATATAAGATTGTAACAGCCTGATGAAGGCTTTGATAAGGTACATATGGATTCAATAAACTTGGAGGTAACCTTTTCTAAGGCCACATTCTACTTTGCATCACTAGATTCCAGAACACCTTGTTAAAATGGTAATTTTAAATTAAATAGATATTAAATCAACAGTACTAAGAAGCATTATGTACACACACATACCTGAATCTCATCTCCATGTTCTCCAATAACTTCCACCAATCTTGACAGAAGGTCAGACAACGCATGTGCAGAAAGAGGCTGCTTTAGGGCTCTGAATATCTGGAAAGAGCGACCTGCGTAATGTCTTGAAGAGCTTGAAAGAGCTGTTTGTAAAGCAACTTCACTCAGATGCTGCTCCAAATGAAAACCTAAGCAAAAGAACAGTATGTAATTTATTTTTTTTTAATGACAGATTTTATTGTGGGTCATAAACAGGCTGAACCAACTCTGTGGGGAGGATATGCACTGTAGTGTATCCTGCAAACCCTGTGAGAAATGGAGATGCAGGAATGTCTAGGTTTGGGAGAATTTCTCACTGTTTACATTTATTTCACACAGAATGTAAGAAAATAAACTGCACAACTCAAATTCTGAGTCTGCAAACCCTTGAAATTCTTAATCTGATTTAAATTTTTTTACAATTCATGGAGAAATTTGCAAGCCATCTTACTGGCAGCAACATGATAACTTCTGAACTCCCAAAATTAAAGCCAAGCTGAATTAGGAGTCTTTCTATTAGCTTCAGTAGGCTTTGGATAAGATCTTAAATATAAATGCCGATGCTGCATTCTGCTTTGATCTTGGAAGATATTTAATGAGTGACTGTGTTGGTTTTTGAAATACAATCAGTGCATTTCCTAAGCTCTAAAAACATAACAAATGAAAACTAAACTTTAATTGCTGGAAGAAATTTAGCAAAGTATGTTTACTTAGTAACTGTGATGTATTTTACCAACAGGACACAGAAAAGCTTTTATGTGGTAGAATCAAAAGGCTATCAACAGCTTTGAAGAAATGTTCGATTTAACATTCAGCCACAGTCCCATCTAACGTGATTTTTTTAAAGCAATTCTTTCATATGTTGTACATCTTTGCTAAGACATACAGTATGTTTTGCTTCTGCATAAGCAGATCTGCTAAATCACAAGATAAACATTCTGTGTGACCTTGAAGGAATATTCTTTTAGTTATGAAAGGAAAAAAATGTACTACCTGACTTGGAATCTTTAAATACAGATACAACATGACGCAGAAAATTCGTAAGCTGTTCAGCACTCTTGGTGTTCTGATTTTTGGGTGTGATATCTTCATGGCACCAAAGCGGACCAAATGCCCTTAAAGAAATACATAACAAAGTGCAAAATTTATTTGAGCTATCTGAAATAAATGTAATCAGATAGAATATCTAAACTGCAAAGGCAATTAGATATTTCCAGGGCCGTAGCCTGGAAAACATGCAACTGAACAGAATTTTATGAGCAAAATGCATGTAAATAAATATTGCTATGCTGTATTTTACAAAACCTCTCTTTTAAAATATAAGTTATTTCATTTGGAGAGCTGCATAAACAATTCCCTGTTTTTTAATTTGACATTGTGCCTAGGATGTGCTGGCCATAGTCGGTAGTTAAAATTAGTTTCAGCATGGCCTTTCACTATGCCCTGTACACTTCCTATCTAATTTTATAATACTACATCTGTTTTGTTTCATTAGTTCATTGTTGAACATAATACTATCTGTCAATTAAAAATTTTATTCCTGTCAGGCAAGCCTTCTGTTGTTTCTGACACTGTAGTGCTTTTAAGTACCTACCTACTTCTATAAGTATCAATAAAAGAGGAATGGGAGTCTGTAATTACTATAAAAGCTCAGCCATTTTCCTCTAAGTCTTTCAATTTACTACAGATAATTGTAGAGAAGACATGAAAGTATGCATTTTGAGTACGAACGTAACCTCTGCCTATCTCCATTACCTGGTTGTCAGAAACTCAATTAATTTGTTTGCTTTCTCATCTGTTTCAGCAGCAGTGTCCATGTCCTCAACCTCTTGTGTAATCTGTGGGAGATTTCCACTGCTGCCTCCCAGACTGATACTGGAGGAGGTGGAACTGGAGCTCAAGCCAGAGTCTGGCACCGGAGACGACTGGTATTCCCGCAGAAAGTCAAAGCCACCTGCCAGCCAAAAGGGAGAAGATAAAGATGGAATGCACTGTTGGGCCAGCATTACCACCAAGCAGCTCTTTTCAGAGCTGGCAGCAGAAACCTCTACTGGGAAACAGGGAAAACCAGCAGAACACAACCACCCTCAAATGCTGATGGGAGTGAAAATAGTACTCTGTTTCTAAATGTGCAGAATCCAATATAAGATAAAAAATACCAAAGTCAACATAATTTTTTTACTGCACAAGGGCTACAGTACTTGAAAAATAAATGTTTCATGGCATTTTACAATCAGAACTATGTCTTTCTGTAAAGTGAATATTGAAGTTGGCTAAGTTCAGCTCACTTCTCTGGACTAGTCTGGTGAGGAAAAAAAGCCTCTGCAGGGGGGGATTTTCAGGACAATGATATTGTCTTAATTTTACGAACATACTAGAAGCTGAGACACAAATGTTTAAGGCTTCTGTTCAACATCTTTAGTAACTGTAAACACCAGACTACTCACACTAAATATTTTCAGCATTAAGGTTAAACATCTGAATGAGAGTTCTCCTAGATTAAAAGCTTGCCACACAACTTCAGAGCTGGAACTAGAAACTAAGACCTGTTTTCTTAAGGTTAGACTGCTAGTCATCTTCAGCTGTATCTACAACAGAAAAACTGGCCTTGTGAGAAGACTGGGAGCAGGAGGGGCCTCTCCACTGACAAAATTCATTGCAGTCCAGGGGACTCTTAATTTAGTTGCCTGACATTACGTGGAATGAACCTGAGCCAAAGTATTTTCAGTTAGGATTCTTTGCTACGGATTCTCACCCACACTCTCATTCTTTGTATTAGCTGATAAAAAAAGAATCCACATACAAAGTTTTTGATAACTTCTTGCACTTAAGAGGCCCAGACACAGGGTACCAATTAGGCTTTTCAGAGACAGGAATGAAAAGTTTTTCATTTTGGCAGACAAGCAGTAATATAATTTTAATGTAAGAATTTTATTCTCTATTTAACAATTCATTGACATGCATTGGAAAAGAGATCTACACAACTCAAGGAGGGAAATCCACATGTGAGGTAATTTTAAACAGACTTTATTCAGAATGAAACCTAAAAAAAAGGTCAAATTAATTAATTGATCTGAAATACGTATCCCTTCTCATTAATTTTTTTTTGTATCTCATAAAAAATAATAATCAGTTATCAAGTAATATTCTTTATAAAGCCAAACTATTTATTACTTTTAGTTATATTTCTAAGGAACCATGGAAATACCATTAGTTTGATTATGTCTCCTTTTCATTTCTCACTCTATGGTAAAGTTCTTCACCCTCTCCCAGACAACTAATCCTACCTTGATAACTCTACACTGGTTCTGTGATTCCTTCAAATCTCAACATTATGCTTGCTTTTAAGTCATATTACATGAGAATAGTAAACCTAGCTGCCTTCTACAAACTGTTCCCAACTAACACCTTAAAAACAGATAAATTGCTCAAAGTTAACAGACGACCTGTTTCAGCAGAGGTCTGAAGTAAGCCTCCTAATGCAGAAAGAGATTTCAGGATAGAAATGAAGTGTATCTGTGATATAAAGGAGGGTGTATATCATGTGAAATTTAACTTAATAATGGAAAATCTGAGCTGCACATTCTTGCTGCTCTTTCCGTGTTGGAATTATTTATTCATTTCTTTTGAAGGTTGAGGAGTGATTGCTCTCATTTGAAGCAGTCCTGGCTCCCTGAGGGGGAAGTTAGGAAGTTATTAGCCATATTAATGTTTAAAATTCTACATTATATATTTTGCCTTACATCAGATAGCTTTCTCACTATCATGAAAAGTTACCTAATAATAATTTGGGCACATCTCCAGGGTAGTTCACATGGAATTAATATTAATGGAAACTGTTCATATTTGTCACTTTACCACTTTAATTTATCCAAACTGTTATATATTAGGGAAGTATCTTTGACATCCTACTTTCAAAAACCTCACAGTATAATGCAATGTTCTTTTCTTCTTTTATTTTATTACCTGTATAAAGATATTCAGGTAAGTATGCCGGTTGTACTGTCAGAGTCTTGGTCTCGTTCATCTCTCTGGTCTGAAGAAGCACTGATGCAATGGCTTGGTAGTTGCTATTGCAAGATAACGCAATCAAAAGATGAAGCAGTAACTTTTTACTGTGTTCAAAAACCTCAGGGCGGTAATGGTCAAGACCTAAAAGAAAAGGTTACAGCAATCACTGAGTGTGAAGTAATAATAAACAAGTTCACGTTCCAGAAATTGCAATAATTCCAAGGCAGTTCAAGGCAACACTGCAAACAAATGATGCAGTATTTCCGGACACAGTTACTAGTGTTTTTACTTCAAATGTGTGTGTGTATATTTAGTTTCCAGACTGAGGTCCAATTCAGGAGGTACAAAACAATGCTTACCTCAGTATCTGGCTTTCTTGCACACACATCAGTTTACCAACAAGTGCAAACTGTAAAAGGTAGATACTGATTTATTAAGAAAGGAAGTGATGGACAAAATCCATTGAAAAAGAACTTCATCTTCCAGTGAGTAGCATAAGAAATTAGCCAATAGCTCAGGTTGTGGAACTGAAACCAAAGGTCTAGCACTGAAAGACTCTGATCTAGTTAGCACTACTGCTGTTTGTAAGATTTTAACATAACCTGCATAAATCACAAACACGAATATAAAGGAAACAGATGTTTGTAAAATAAACTGCACTCTGTGGTAGTAATCTCTTTTCAATTCTCTTTCAGTATCTTCCAGGATATTTACAAATACATTCTGAAAAATTGAATTGTTTTCTTCTTCAGCTCCTCTTTTCTCGGTTCCCTGGTAACTACAGGCCTGTCAGTCTCACTTCAGTGCCTGGTAAAATTATGGAGAAAATTATGCTGGGAGTTATTGAAAAACACCTGAAGGACAACACAGTCATTGGTCACAGCCAACACGAGTTCATGAGAGGAAGGGCCTGTCTAACAAACTTAGTTTCCTTTTACAACAAGGTCACCCATCTAATTGACCAAGGGAAGCCAGTTGATGTCATTTTTTTAGATTTCAGTAACGCTTTCGATACTGTCTCTCACAGCATCCTTCTGGACAAAATCTCCAGCATACAGCTTGACAAAAACATAGTGCAATGGGTGAGCAACTGGCTGATGGGTTGGGCCCCAAAAGTTATGGTAAATGGGGTTACATCAGGCTGGCGGCCAGTCACTAGTGCGGTTCCCCAGGGCTCAATTTTAGGGCCAGTTCTCTATATGTTTTCATAAATGACTTGGATGTAGGACTAGAAGGTGTTGTGAGCAAGTTTGCAGATGACACCAAATTGGGAGGAGCTGTTGATTCTGTCAAGGGTGGAGAGGCCTTGTCCAGAGAGATCTGGACAGATTGGAGAACTGGGCAATCACCAACCACATGAGGTTTAACAAGGGCAAATGCTGGATTCTGGACCTGGGAAGGGGCAACCCTGTCTATACATACAGATTGGGCGATGAGACGCTGGAGACCAGCCATGCTGAAAGGGACTTGGGG